CCAACAAAAATTAACATGCAGTCGCTGAAGGTAATAAAATCGCCTATGTCTCTACATCCTCTTTAGAAAATCAGTTCTCGGAAGACTGCACTAGGATTTTATAACTGCTTATTTTCCTAAACTTTTCTTCTTCCCCCCGGTCCAGAGAACAGTTGAAGTTTTACCAAAAGGATATAACAACTATCATTATTGACATAAATGTGTTTTCATGCACAATTCGAAATGTACCTACTAAACTTTGAGAAATGGATATAATCGACATTAAAGAATGACTGAGCTAGGTTGAATTGTTTTTTCGCTAACCTAATGTATACGATGCGACTTGTTATCTTTCTTTGAACCTCATCTCATAGACAGATAACTAAGCTAAACTCCTCCTTAACTGACACGCGTTATCAATATTTGATATTTATTTATTCAAACTGTGCTTTCATGTACGCCGTGATCCATGTTCAAGAAACATTCTATATTCTTACCGCAACTGACTGCAACGGTTCAGGCTAAAATGGCAACTTTGCGACTGGTGGCAGTCAGTAAGAAAAATCACTAAACTATCACATATACTCCAGTCAAACTGTATTGCCACCTGAACATTTTACATTGGTAGACATTTTGTTGAGAAGGGCAGGAGGAAACATGTCACATCATGATGACCAGGTAAATCACTAGCCGTTCTCTGAGACTGATATATATTTCGCTGGAAGTATGTGTGACCGTTAAACTTAGCGGCCATGGTCTTGATTCATTATTCGTAGACGTGAACATACAGCGATTGTGCGTCTTCTTTCTGCTCAATAATCTTCAAATGCTCAAATAATGAGCCATCAGGATTTGGCTTCCAGTCAGTCAGCTAGTTGCGACGTACAGCTTCGTACATACATACTTAAGTTCAGGTTGACATATCACACTAGCACAGACGCAGTTGTCAGGTCAAATCCCATAGTGACAAATATATTAGAAGTACTGGAAAAAATGGAAAAGATCAGGGTTCGGAGAAATTATTTAAGTGCTAATCAGTGAAATAAATTTAGAAAGAGAAAGAGGTGATGCGGAATTCTGAGGAGTAGAATTTCATTGAACTCAAAGATTGGATGCAAGTGCGTCATTGCAAATGATTTTGAACCATGTCACTCAACGTCTCTTACCATCAAATACCATCATCTTGCGAACCCCGACCTAATAGTCTGCACTTACTAACATCGCTCAATCCAGTTGTCAGTGACTTCATGGATTCCTGCCATGTTTTGGTTTGGCAGCCCCCAGCTTTCTTCTAGCCTATCCCTAAATCGCAGTCAGTGGTTAGGCATTCGTAACATATGTCCCAACCACCTCAACCGATCAAGTTTCAGTACTTCATCAACAGATTTACCATCCCTATCTAGTACTCGTTTCCTAACAACATCATTGTTCACTTGGTTTTCCAAGGATACACAAGCAATGCTTCGAAGACATCTATGATCGAGTACTAATGACCTATGAATTCCCTCAAATCCTATGGGCCATATTTCGCATCCATATAGTTTTAAAAAGCATATAAGCTGCGCAGTAGACTCGTCCTATGCTTAGCTAACGGGTATTACGCCTACGCAAGTTGGAAAGAGCCGAGAGAAGCTTCTGCATCCGCGCCCCGATTTCGTCAGATACCAGGCCGACAGCACTGATGAGACTCCCGAGATAGGCGATGTGACCAACACGCTCAACTGCTTCACTCCAGTCTGCTCTTCACGAGCTCTAGTAAGGTGTCTAGGTACAATCGAGGCTAACAATGTAGACCATATATTAGTTACACTGATTCCTCGGTGACTGTCACAAGAGAACTTGGTCCTCTATTATAGCCGGGAACAAATAGTGATTGAGATCATTCAGATGCGATTATACCCAGTTCGCAGATTCTACCTAAGATCTCAGTCAGTATAACTGCTAAAAATGGACCACCACCGTGAAATTTCAGGGATGAGCTTGTCAGACCCTGCTCCTGTCCCTCACTTCAGATTTTCTGTAGCTTTCTCAACTACATAAGGAGTCACAGAACTTTGCCATTCAGGTTAACTGGAGATCGTGTACAACAGAAGTGTAGCTGAAGACCAGGTGAATGGATGCATGAAGTGTTCTGTCAAACCATCCAATCTCCTGGTTTGAGATTGAATGATACGACCATCCTCTACTGGGATAGTTTCTCTGACAGGTGGATTCCTAGTACCAGTTTCCTTGATACGGCGAAACTGTTACCTATTGGCGCTGCCTTTTCCGTCGTTCTTGCTCTTGCTAGCCACCAATGTCACCGCTTCTCCCTAACCTCATGGTTTACTTTACTAGCAAATATCACTGCTGTTTCTACAGCTTTTTGGATACCATTTCGAGCTACTTCAGGGTTTGCATCACTTAATTAGCCACCTAACTGTCTTTTTAATTCTTCCAGAAATATATTCTTAGCTCTGCTGTCATTATGTAGAACCCTCGAGGGTTTTCTTGCGATTTCTTTCCTGCGTCTGGTGTTTCGCAAACAAATACGCGCTCGCACTACAGCATGATCTGATTCTAAATAAGTGCTCCAGAATGAGCGTTAGTACTCAGTAGAGTCCCTCCACCGATGGCTGAGGGCTATGTGATCTAGTTGGGTACAGTGTTGTGACGACTTCGGAGGTAGCCAGGTCAAAAATTATTTTTCCTTATGCCTAAAGTTAATGTGCTTGCTGGAAATAAGCGGTTATCTGAGCGTAGCTACAGCAGACGGTCTTCTTTATCTGTTCTATTAGCCGAGACACGATAAGATCCATCCAGGTGTCTTTCCTATTCACTAAGTTCACCTACTTGACCATTGAAGTCGCCAGCCATTATTACTACATCAGAGCATCTAAATCTTTGACAGAGATCAGAAAGTTTTCTGTAAAACTCATCTTTCACATCATCTGAACTGCAGTCAGTGGGAGCGTAGGCAGATGAAGAGTGTCCCTATCCTTCCAAGTCCGTACCGTCCCGTTCAGTTAAACAACGCGGATTTCGCTAATGAGGTGCCCACATTAAAAAGGGTTGTTTCCTGAGGAACCCTAAAGGAAAGTTAGGCTTTTGATGGTCCTAGAGACCTGGGATAGGGAACGATGAGGCCCAAGGGGTTATTGCTTGAGGCTATCCATGCATGGCTTTTCTATGAGGAGTATTTAAAGTGTTAGTTCCGCCCTTTTCGAAAGACCTTATCACCGGAGACGGAAATCCCTGATAAAATGTGAGGTGTGACATATCTACGTCAACCTTTTCTAAACACTTCCTTCCTTGTAAGAAGGAAGAGTAGCTGTGAATGCAGGTTGCCCGAGGGAATCACCTTATTGCTGTTGCACTTCTCTAAAGTTAGCTGTACGACTACACTCACAGACCCTGAGTAGCTACTTCTAGCCTCACCGTTCTCCACTCGACCTGCCTGGCATGGTAGAACCTACAGGAATATGTTCCAACCAATATAGCTCGGTTGGATCATCACGATAGGCAAGCACGAACATCACATGAAGGTAGCAACTACGAGCGGTTTTGGCTTCTTGACTAATGATTGAATCTATCTACAGCTACCCTAGTCGTCAGTTAACTAACATATTATGGTGGTGCAAGTTGTCATATTCGTTCAACTTACACCGAATACAAACTGAAGTTCAAATGGCTTGATGTACAATTTATCTCGACATATTCATGATATTTTTATTTAGATAATTTATACAACCTATTTCGTTACGAGGTTTGGAGCTGACTAACTGTATCAATCTCGGTAACCTTGTACCACTTACTATCTTTAAATCCATACTCATAAGTTTATTTAAGTATGAGCATTTTGTACCTAGTCTCTTCCCCAGCGATGATTAAAGATAGTATAACTGATCTACAACAAAAGATTCTTCATAAATTTCAACTCAACTCAAAATGCTTTCTTAGGGTTAAAAATTTAGTTGGATAATATTTAGGTGAATGTTAATTGCATAACCTTATGTTTTCAGTCTATAACAAACATTGTATATCTTCCTAAAACAGGTAGAACACACTATGACAGAATAAAGCGTTATGACGAAACAGTATTTTTGACAACCATATATATATATGCAAACCTACCATAGCTAATGCAGCTGAGTGATACAATGTATCACACTGTATCTAACCACCCAACCAACTAAGGAAATAAAGTGCACTGTGGTCAACAAATAAACTAAATTCAATTTCTCGAGTTTTCAGCAAAGAGAATACATCACTTGACACCTCAAAATCTGTAGCCATTTACCTGCGACTTTAAACTGAATCTTAACAGAACTACCGCCATTTTGTATGTTGGATAGTTAACCAAATAAGGAAAACCACATTCCTTACCATAGGCTGGATATTTGAAGAAAATATTTCCTTACTAGGACTAGAATATTCCTGCCGATTTGAAAATTATTGAGCGTGTGGCAGCTTTAGGTACTTCATTCACGTACATTTCGTAAATAAATTATGTACACCTACAGATTATCATCTCCCGTAAAGACCAGCTCCGCATGATGCATGGCCTGAAACTTAACAGTCGTCCTCAGATCACCAGTTTATTTAAATCTCGATTACATCTCTGTCTCCACTTTTTTGCTCACGCTTTTGTCCCTTAAAATAGTCTTCACTACTAATTATTGAAGTTTTTAATTTCTAAAAATAGCATTAGACAAAATTCACGAGACATAAATTCATAGACAACTGTCACCAGACCAGAATTACAGCATTGAAGTGATTAGACTAAAATCTATTGGATATTGCTGAATTCCTGTAACCGTATGGGAAATAGCAAGAATCGAGCTGAAAGAGATCAATCGGCTTATAATAGTTCATGGAAAAGATATTGGATATTAGATTGAGCAAAAACTGTTGCTGACCTTGATCACCATAACGACTAAATGAGGAAATTTAAAAATGAGTAAAACTTTTCAAAACTAGTTTTTACTGTTCAGTAAGTTAGTTAGTGTGCAGGTTGTAAATAATACGTGTACCAAGAAGTAATGGATTCTTCGAAGCTCCCTGAAAAGAATACTAACCTTTCTGAATTGCTGGACCTAGCTCTTGGAACACCAGATGTAATAATTAAAATACATATCCTAAACTTATTTTAGCCTGGGTCGGTCAACTTCGGCATCCTGTATATAATTTTATCGCACATAATTAAACATCTTGAGCTCAGCGATGTGGAGCCTTGCGAAGAAAAAAATTTAAGTGAATTATACGCACAGAGCGAAGCCAAATTTCCAGGTTCTGGAACAGACCAAAATATATACCATGGAATTCAAGTAAGTTTAAGTTTTTTCCTTATAAATTGTAATGGAATACAGTCATTTTTTCTGGTTATTTATTGAAAGTATCAGATACTTGTAGTTAAACCTATATCGAGGAACTATTTGTATATATGATAAAGTAGTATAATCTTCCATTGATTGTGTATAATACTATAAGTGAACACTGTCTCTCGGGAAGATGAATTCCCTTGTGCTGTTTCCGATTAGCCTCTCACAATTAAATCAAAGTATTCGAAAAACTGAAATATTTTGTGATAATCCTTTCATTAGTTATATTTTCAAGTCTGATTGTCCCAATGTCTAATATCTTTGTTATGAGCTAGTATAAACCAATAGGTTTATTTTTTATCTATTCTTGTTCTTTTGGTACAGTTTTAAAACTTAAGCCTTCGCTTCTAATAGTTTCGCATAGTTTACTATTTTTACCTTCTTCCACATAGTTGTAGTATAGAAAAGTTGGAGAAGCGTATTTACTCTCTGAGAGTAAACGTATTTCGGAGTAGGGATTGCTCGATTTCTGTTAATCTTTGGATTCCGAACGCTTGTAGATACAATACTCAGTTATATATATGAGTTATATATATGAGTTCTAATTGCTTGATCAGCTTACTTGAATAACCGTTTAGAACCATACAGTGAACGATAAATAACGACATTACAGTATAACTATTTTATGACAGTATTTCAGGCACTCTTATCACTTGTTGAATATATCGAGACTACATCTTTCTGTGTCGAAAGTAAGAGTTCTGTGAAATTAGTTCAAACTATAAAACATTTTCCCGCATACAGTTTTATTGTCAAATCTGTAGGAGTCTCAGTTTCATTGGATGGTTTTGTCCAGTTGGGTTTCAAAATATTTAAATGTTATGAGATTGTTGACACCTGATTTAAAAGTGATTTCTGCTACATTTTTCGCTTCTATTATTTGTTATAAGCCTAAATTAGAGAAAAAGGAAGTAACGTGCACTGGAATAGGTAGCTTAGCAAGAAAAACGGCAGTTCAAAAGTAACGGATTGAATCGGAGACTAAAAACTATGTAATCACACTAAGTAGATCGAAATCCAAATGTTATTTCTTGTCAGTATGAGTTTTCTTCGAAAGTCCATATCTCATAAATGCATAGCATAATATCTAAACTTACTGGTTTTACGATCACGACTATGTGTGTAAATTTTAGACAGATTTTTAAGATTCATTGGTAATTTATAGGTGTGGTTAGGTTAATCCATGTTATTTTCCTCTTCTAAGGGGTTTTCAAATTAAATACTAACTGATAATGAATTGATTATTAAGCTTGATAAAAACTTTGGAATCTGAAGTAAGATCCGTCTCGTAGTGCAATGAATAAGATCCCAAAATTAAAACACAACATGAGTCCCATTTTTATTGAGATAAGATCTTTATTAAAATTTTTTATCGAGAAGAATGCTAAACACTAGTTCACCCTAATGGATATCGAGTAGTTGTTACAGCCACCATATTCTTTTAATTCTATTAAAAGCTGTTTTTTGTTTGATTTGTTTAAAATGCATCTCCTGGTCTAAATGACTTGAATTTATAGTTAATTATTGTTTAGTGTTAGGTGGTTAAGTGTTATTAGCATAACTTTGAGACAAGAAAGATGATACAAGTTTTATACTTTAAAAAAGTCTATTATTCCCAGTAAAGTTTGATCACTATCCTAAAACGTATATAAATATATGAACCGATAATTTGTTATATGGCTACTTATGTAATAATTACAACAGGTGAAAACTAAAGTCTAAAGATATTAGACAAAGTTGATTAGGTAGTCGTATTTATATGTATCTTGAGCTTTTGTTCCTGTCTGTGTGGACATACAATCATTATAATTCTTATAGGTCGACATTCAGTTATTCGATGAGATGGCTAACCAGTACTCTTCTGTAATTTACAAGTACAAACTTTCTAACTAACCATGTTAGGATCTTATTGAAAAACATCTAGCCCTGGAAAGCTCATGATTTCAGAGATATATATGTACATTTGTGTATTTCACACATACAAACACTTGGGGAATTCTTCTAATTGCGACTAAAATCCAAGCAAAATAGATTGACAGATCGGTAATTATCACATAACAATACTACTCACATGCTATACCTTTACAATAAATGAGGTTACTCTGAGGATCTACTTGATTGTAATAATGAATAGAGTGATTTTGAAAGTTTCTCAGTTGTCTGTTGATGTTTAGATTTTATATATCAATTTTTATGTGGAGTTAGTATGATGATCAAATGAACTCGAGCCAAATAGGCATAGATCTATCTCAATGGAAATTGACTGATAGTTGAGAAGTAGACTGATTGGCAGAATAGTAACATAAACATGAGGTATTTTCTGGGTATAATGATATAATCATCGTATTCACTACAAGTTTAAACCCCTTAAATTTATGTTTCCTGGATTTTCAAAACCTATCTAATGGCTACGTCATCTATCACTCTCATTCATGACATTATACCTATAACTTTGCTGACTTTGTGGGGGCATAGTCTGACAAATTATCACTCACCACACTCCCAGAGTCCAGATTGCAAGATTCTCATTTTCTACTAGACTAACTCGTAGAAATGCTGTAGAGCGTAGAAAACTTCGAAGGATTCAGACTAAGCTGTTGTACATGATAATAAAGTATGCAAACCTTGAGATCATAATGTCCGCCAAAATGTACCCCGCTACATTAGCATTTATAATATATATCACCAGTCCTTATTTAGGATTAACTTAAATCTTGATGTATGCTGCAATGTATCAAGAGTCCATCCAGCTTGAAAATTGAAAATTTTCTTTTCATGTGAGAACCTAAAATCAATTAATTAATTGACTATCAATCAACATTATTCTATCATCTATTGGACAGTTAATTAATTCTGTTACTCTAAAACTATGATTCATTTAAATTTTAAACATAAATAATATGAATATTAATTAACGGTAAATTTTTTATTTTAAACAAACTATAAAAACATCCAAGAATAGTGACTTCTTTTTAATTTTCTCTCATCAAATTAAAATCAACAAATGATCAGTATTCAATGGTCAATTGTTTCAACAATCAATAAATTACCTGCTGTCTATAACTAGGACATGTTTAATAATAATTATGGTTTATATTTGTAAACAAACAAACAAATACAAGACTCAATGTAGCGAAATAAGTAAACGGATATTCACAATCCATATTGTTGTTCTATGTTCAATATTCAATAGAAAAAAAACACGGTCCATTAAAACAAAAAACAATAAAACGCTAAAAAAAAATAACAAAGGCAGAGATGACGATGTTTATTTTTTGAAATATTCTTTTTAATTAATAATAAATTTAGTTGAGTTAAATTATTAGTTTTAACACCAGGAAATGAAATAACAACCCTAGATAGAGTTGTTTGTATTTATTACTGAAATTATGATGAATCAATCATTGTTAGACCATGATTAGAAACGTGGAAGCACTGAAGGACGCCCGTTTCATCCCGGTGTATGAGACTACTGATCAGCTGTGCTCATTTACAACTCCTGTTACTCGGTCTTGCGCGAGAACACCTAGCCTCTGAACCTTTGGAGACCGGCATCCACTGGTGTTATTGTCCAAATCTAGTCAGTTTAGGGATTTTGTGAAGCCTCACAGGCTAGGCATTCGCCCGTTAGACTGAAGTTATTGAGTTCGTCTCCCACTTACTCGTCGGAATTCGAATCCAGGACCTCTGATCATATTCAAGAACGCCTAACCTATGAACCACTGGGCCGGCATCCACTAGTGTTAATGTCTATAACTCTTGTCAGTCTAGGGATTTATAGACTTCACAGGCTAGGCGTTCGCCCATGAGACCGAAGTTCTTGAGTTTGTTTCCCACGTACAGAGGGGCTAGTGGATGCGCACTGCTAATGAGTCCCATACTAGAACGAAACGGCTGTCCAGTCAGTGCTTCCGGGTTTCTAATGGCGACTATTCATTCATGATTTCAGAAATAAACAGCAATCTTCATAACTCTCTAATGAAAAACTCTTCTTCTCAAAAATAGTAAAAAATTTCGAGAATTAAATTTAAATATCACAGTAGTAATTTATTGACAGATTTGACGAAAGTTTCATCATGTGGAGTTAGTCAGAAAAAAACGATCACTTGTTGTATAGGATTATAGAATCGTTACGATAAAATTGTAACTATGAATCGATCTATGTCAGAATACCATCAGAAAGAAACCTGGAAGCATTGGATGGCCATTACAGAACTTATCAACAGGACGCATCCATGACTACACAAGCGGAAATCAAACCAAGCGTTTTCGATCTCGTGTGCGAATGCTTAACCTCTAGTACTAAACTAAGCTAGAAACATCCATCTGTGTTAATGTTTAAGTTTGACCAATCTATGGATTTTACGAAATCGCATCCATTGTGTTCGGTAGTTATAGCCTATACAAGACATGAATGAATTCCACTGGTCACAGCTTCTCACTAGAATTCCGAGAATTTCCCCGACGAAGCTAGTCATTGATGTTTCACATACTACCAAGGATGAAACGGTCATCTTAACAGTGCTTCCAAGTTTCTAATGGCAATCTAACAAATAAGTTATCATCAATATATTTTATCCTCTTATAAACGAAAGCCAATTACTCAACTTATTGATTGACTGAAAACTTCATCACCAGACTACTTACTTACTATATATACTACTTATTATATACATTGAAATCTATTTCAATTTGAATCCTCAGAAAAAATAGGCTTTTTTTTAAAATCAATAATTTGAGCATGCCTACTTTTTGTAAAAGGTGTTGGTGCTTTGACTGATCGACCGATTGATTGATTGATTGATTGACTGACTGATCGATCGACCGATCGATCGGATCGATCGATTGCTGATCATATCATATTACTTAACTTACTGAACTTCTTACAAATCAAACAAGTCATGTTCTTATATCAGCAGCATCTCGGTCGAATAGGTGAAAATGTG